CTGCTGGCTCTCCCACTTCTCAAGGGCCTTGCGAGCCTGAGCTCCACTTCTGCCTCTTCCGTCCCAGAGAGCCTCCTCGGCTCCAGGCCTGCCAGCCTACTGCTAGGGGAGGGAAGCGTGACATTTCCTGACTCTACCTCTCATGCCCTTTCCTAGCCATGCTGTTGCACTGACCCGTGACTCTGAGCGCCTGGGAGAGACAAAGAACAGGATCAATGTCTTGCCCTTGGGAAGGTAAGGTCTACATTCTGCCTAATGCTTAGGCCTCACTCTGCTCTGCAAAATGCCTAAGAGGCACCTGAGAAAGGTGCCATGTCAGGACTGACATACCCACTAGACAGAGGCGATTCTTCTCCCTCCTCCTCCAAATCAAGAACTAAAAGGTTTTCATCAAGAAAACCTGCTCCCGGGCAGAGAAGAGGAACTTCTGGTTCCAAGTCCAGAGTTTGCCGAACCACAGGCCACACAGTAGGGAGCAACGAGACGCCACAATGAGCCGTGCAAGTCTTAGGATAGGCTCTTCTCTGCCTCCTGGAGCTCAGCTTTGGTTGGAGGGTGCAGGATGTCACGCCTAACTTCTGTTGCTTTCTTCCTTGGCAGCGGTGCTCTGGCTGGCAACCCCCTGGATATCGATAGAGAGCTGCTGCGCAGCGGTAAGTGTCTCCCGATGACTGAGTGGCAGAGGTCTAGCCCTAGTATCTCAGAGGGAGGGAAGCACTGACGCGGTGTCCTGACGCTAGCTGGAGATGGACTGCGGCCCCTTCACACAGGCATGGAGGGAAATACATGCAGCTCCCAATGACTCTGCGAGGCCTTGTCTTGGAGCCAGAGCCCTTGTTTCCTAAGGCTCTTTGCGGCCAGGAGACAGCTGATGCTTGCAAGGTGGGAGCAGGGACACAACCACCTCTCTTGCACCCTGGCAGCCTGGGGCAAATCACAAAGGCCCCAGCTCAGCATAGCACTCTAGCAGGTCTGCGTCCCTCAGCCGTACCTCCAGCCTTACCTCCAGCATGACACGGCGAGAGAGACTTTGTGGGTGAGCACACCTCTATCGTTTCTTTCCTCCCTCATTTTATAACCCTGCTTCTAAGACCTTCCCTGTTAACTTGGTTTAGCAAGAGGACTAAAGTGCCTCACCAGGAAGTAAATATACAAACAGTCTCTTTGCAAGTGTCTGAGCTCCAGTCAGAGTTCCTTGGGTTGTCAGCAAAGCCGTTTATAACCTCCTGATTTCCCTTCTTCTCTGCAGTGGAATTCCTCTTTGTTGCCACCCTGCTGATGACCCACCTTAGCAGACTGGCTGAAGATCTCATCATCTACAGTACCAGCGAGTTTGGCCTTCTGACCCTCTCAGATGCCTTCACGTAGGTTTCTGGGTTTCTAGGCAGAGAGTTTGTCCCTCTGTCTCTCCTCCTCAGTTTATACACACTGAAAGATATGGATGCATCATCTACAGTACCAGCGAGTTTGGCCTTCTGACCCTCTCAGATGCCTTCACGTAGGTTTCTGGGTTTCTAGGCAGAGAGTTTGTCCCTCTGTCTCTCCTCCTCAGTTTATACACACTGAAAGATATGGATGGCAGTAATTTGGCTCTCTGTTGCACAAGGCTGACACTACAATTAATACCCTAGGGCATTTAAAGGCTGCCTTTATTTAAAGGTATCCTTAAAAGTCACCATTCCTCTTTAATGGTTGATTTTTACTGATTTGGGTAACTTGCTGAAATCTGTATTCACTGGACACTCCTCCCCAGCAACTGCCGGCAGGATCGAGCTGTAGAACAGCAGGCAGAGAAACTTCCTCCTCTGCTGGGAATTCCTGCCAAAGCCCTTCCTTGAATTGCTGTGCTTGCAATCCCAACACTCTTCCTGTTCCTCAGGGGGGCACAACCACAACCCTCCCTCTCTGAGGCCACAGTGTCCTCCACAGAAACGCTGTTAGTCTTGCCTGTTGATACCACCTCTAGAGCAGTTTTGGGGGAAGCGTCCTTTTTTCTTCCTCTTTGGCACACAATTATGGGCAGGACCGTATGGTAGCTCCACACAAGACTCTAAATATGAAGGCTCAGCTCTGGGAATTACCTTTGTTTTCAGTGCTAGCAGCAGCCTGATGCCTCAGAAGAAGAACCCCAATAGCTTGGAACTGATCCGCAGCAAGACCGGACGTGTGTTTGGACGGGTGAGCCTGCTAAAGAAAGAAGTGGAATGGGGGAGTGGCTCAGACTGGGGCTTGTATGGTTGCAGTGGGGAATGAGATCAGATTCCTTTCCCCCAACCAGACTCTCAATGCCCAGGGAGATTCCTTAGGTCTGCCTTTCCACAGAGTCTCAGCATTTAGAGTAACTCTTAGTGGGTGCTGAGCTCAAGCAGTCTTGCACTAGGTTGCTGAGGATTTACTGAGGCACTCATTAAAAGTGGACTAATTAGTATATATTACCCATAAGGATAGCATCACTTACCTTTACCTTTATATGGCACTTTAAGATGATCAGACAGATCTTATGTGTACTGTGACTAGTTTGTTGAGAGATTAAATGCCAGAAAAACTATCCTGAGCCACAGGATATCTTGAGTAGTGTCTTCTACGCACCCATCACAGGCGGGCAGGGTAATCAAACATGCACAGATGTCCAGAGCACATGCTTAAGAAACAAAGTACTGCCTTAAGCAATTGCATTAAGAAGTTTTAGTCCCTTATGGGAGACAATCCACCTTTCTCAAAGGCAGCCATGGAAAACTGAACTCCTCTCATCCCTTCAGCTTAGTGGCACCTTTTAGGTGAGCAATTTATTACCCTTCATCTGCAAGGCTCTGTGTAAAGAAATGTGCCCAGTCTTGGCTCTGGATATCTCTGCTGGGGCAACACGCTTCTCTTCCTATAGCTTAGTGCCTGTTCTTCCCTGCAGTGTGCCTCTATTCTCATGGTTCTCAAAGGACTTCCAAGCACCTACAACAAGGATCTGCAGGTAAAAGAAATATTTGCTCTCACTCCATTTCTCTGAAAAGACACAACTGTCTTCTGATCTGCAAGCAGTGCTTGCCACTAGCTTTCCCTGCACGGGACCTGCTGGGGTGCAGGATGCTAAAAAAAGGGGATAAGGCACTGCACGCAGCCCTCAGGGGAGCCCCGCAGATGTCAGCGCCTGCTCTGCTGGCCGCGCTGCTCAGGCTGCTGGCCTTTTTGGCTGCTTCAGGCTGACTTACTGCAACTTCCATCCATGTTATCACGCAGGAGGACAAGGAGGCTGTCTTTGATGTGGTGGATACCCTGACTGCTGTGCTCCAGGTTGCCACTGGAGTCATCTCTACCCTCCAGGTAAGGCTTCAGCCTCTCGTTACTGAACACGCTCTGCTCCTGCTTGCATCCACAAGGATGCCATTCCTCATGGACTGACACAGGGAAGTGAGCTCCACGCTGGTCCTAAGATGAAAATTCCTCAGTCCCACGCTCACCCAGGGACTCACTGCAGCCCCTTTGTCAGCTGCTCACATCCACCCTGCTCTGGGGTCACATGGGGCAGAGGACCTTGCAGAGCCAGGCCCCTTCCAGATGAAATGCCCTCACTGTGACAGCTAGCGTGTCCCCAAGCAGGAGCTGATGGTGATGTCTCCCCTCTGACCCTCCTCTCTGCAGATCAACAAGGAGAATATGGAGAAAGCTTTGACCCCTGAAATGCTGTCCACTGATCTGGCTCTCTACTTGGTTCGTAAAGGAGTAAGTATCAGGGGGAGACTTGTGAGCTGTGATTTCTTTAGAACCACAATACTGCTCAGGGAGGGCCTGAGATGAGGCCTTCTCTTCTGTCCCCAGGTGAGAATCAGTCTGGGTCAACAAACACGAGAGCTGGAAACCCATTATTTACATGTATCCCAAGTAGAGGAACTGCTGCCGGGTGGACTTGATAGTAATTTACAGGTGGAGTTCTGCCTCCTAATGCCTCCCCTTTTCACACCCCAGAACACCTGTCAGAGTCAGACTGCGTTGCCCTAAGTCAAAAACAAACAAACAAACAAAAAAAACCCAAAAGAGAGCACATCCTTTTCTGCCGCTGAGTCTGCACTCCAGCTGCCTGGCCACTGACTGTTGCTCCTGCTTCTTGTTGCAGATGCCATTCAGACAAGCCCACATTGCCTCTGGGAAGGCTATCCACCTTGCTGAGACTAAGGGCATCACCATCAATAATCTCACCCTGGAAGACCTGAAGAGCATCAGGTTTGTATCATTATTATTTGCCACATCTCCCCTCAAAAGGCAGGTTTCCACCTGCCTCACTAGGCGCTTCCTTGCGGTGCCCTTCAGAGAACAACCTGGGCAGGACAGGACCCCTAAATCCTCCTGGCCTGAGTTTCAGGAGCGTGACAAGGGGACAACAGCGCTACCGTTCAGCTCAAGCAGGGCAGGGCAGCAAGTAGCAGAGGGGAATGGAAGAGACTCATGCCCCGACCCAGAGGCACCAGCCCTCCAGAGGGGTCCAGCTCCTAACTTCCTTGCTCTGCTCCTGGAGCAAATCCTTTTGTCTGTCACCAGCTCCCACTGTCAGGCCCGAGCGGTGCAGAATCAGGGCCACACAAGGCCTTTCCCCTTGGGAAAAGGCTCAGTCTCCACTCCCTCACCCTCTCTGCAGGCAGCGAGCAGGTAAAGCCAGCACACAGCACCTATCACTCGCTACTCACTCCTCTTCTCTTTGCCCCCTCAGCCCCCTCTTTGGCAGCGACGTGTCCCAGGTCTTCAGCTTCATCAACAGCGTGGAGCAGTACACGGCTGCGGGAGGTACCGCCAAGAGCAGCGTGACTGCCCAGATCGAGCAGCTGAGGGAGCTGCTGAAGAAGCTGAAGGAACAAGCTTAGAGTGTGGGGAGATATCCCGTGTATGCAGCTTTGTGCTTATCACACTGATCTGGAGTTAATAAACACTGTGGTGTATTGTAGTTCACTCAAACTCCTGTCTTGCGTATTTCTTCCGGGGCAAGACTGAGCCGGGCTTCTGCAGCCCTCACGAGGCTTGGGGAAAGGTTCATTGGTGTGAAATTATCGGCGCGCTCTCCTCCCTGGCAGGGGAGCTGCGTTATGGGCTGTCAAGCTCTAGGGGGGCTGGCAGTTAGAGAGCAGCAAGAGTGTCTGTCTACACCAAGAGATCCGCAAATGTGTGTCTGGGGGCACGGGGCGGAGGGTACAGGTGAACAGAGCGCAAACCTGGATCCAGCAGAGCCAGAGCGGGCTACGCAACGCGCTGCGGGAAGTTTGTGTGCGTGCCCAAAGCAAGGCTCCCTGTCCCACATCTGCCAGGCATGCCCCAGCTCCAGCTACCACCGCCCTCCTCCGGGGTGCCTCCTGGTGCCCACCCAGCCATGGTGCGGTGACCTCAGGCTTGCTTTGCCTCCAAGCTAGCTGAAGGCAGAGCGCCTGACAAGAGGCCTGGCATGGCTGGCTGCCTCTGATAAATCATTTACCATCCTCCCTCCTCTCCTTATTAACAAAAAAAAATCAGAACAAAGACCAAGGAAAGCCTTACTGGACAAATGAAGGGGCAGCAACCTGCTGTCTTTCTTACGGAGAAAACAATTGATCGCACAGTGCTTGAAACGTCACCCCTCCCTTATTGCTCTGCTGTCATTTCTGGATGAAATGCAACTGCTGCTTGATTCAAAGGCAGAGAAGGAGCAGCCGTCTAAAGGGAAGATGGGGCATTTTTCATAAAAGATTAGACCAGCTTGGCCCTAACATCAGAGCACTGTGGTGCTAGTTTCCATGAAGAGTTTCTTTTTTGTCACAGCATTATGAAGCTGGTGATTTTACTCAGCACTCTCCCCTCTGTTCTGAAGCAGCAACATGCTATTGACTCTGACTACCATAAGACTCTGTATCACAAGTAGGGAATGGCAGTAACACAGGCACTGCCTCACTATGTTTAAGTTAGAGGCTATAGCATAAACAGTGCAAAATGTTAATCTCCTGCCAGTAATGAAGTGCCTCAGCAGACATAAAGTGCTTTCATCCTACCTTTGTAGCATTTGTGCTTTAAGCATGCAGAAGCACCAGCAACAGAAACTTCCCTTTCTTAAAACACTTCTTCCCATCCTCAGTCTCCCCTTATTCTGGCCTTAAATTAGATCCATTCTTTGGCATTTAAAGAACAGCACCTTTCCATCACCATTCTATAAAGCTCCTTTGTGTTTGCTGTGTTGCTTACTGCAGTGTTTCTCTTTCGGCAGTTGTGTCTTACTCTCCAGATAGGTTAGCTGTAGTAGAGAAATCATTTATGCACACTTAGCTGAGAGGAGAAGAGAGCAGGAGAGGGAGAGATCACACCAATATGCAACACCAACCAGGTCAAAGGGATGTCACCTCGCCCTCAGCTCACAGTTCTTTTCTTTCCTCCCTTAAACTTTCTTGATCAGGCCACTTTCCTCCTCCTTGCTTCTATCTTCTAGCTCCTGCTCAGTACCTTCACAGGCCTAAGCTGACTAGATTTCCTTGTGCTCCCAGCAGCAACAGTTCAGGAACTCGTGGCCAGGGCTGAGTGACACCATGCCCTGTCAAACAAAAGAAAAAGGAAGGTCTTAGTAGATTATCGCATCTTGGTCTCCTGCTTAAATGAATAATTCATAATCACTGATATTTCTACCCGTACACCCTTTTCTTAAATTATAGAACAATTTAGATTGGGAGGGACCTGTGGAGGTCTCTGGAGATCCACAGACATTACAGGGGAGTGTGGACCAGAATATCTGCACATTCTCACCATCACTTTGCTATAATTCATTGTGATCTGAGTTTTTAAGATATCATCTCTCATCATAGGAAGTTCTAGGTAGACAGAAGGATCAGTGGCTTAGGACGCTACTCTGAGGTGACCTGGGCTTAAATCCCTGTTTCATCATAGACCTCAGGAAAAACACCTAAGACACTTCAGAACATATTGGGACATCTAGAATAGGAGAAAGGTGCTGAATATCTCATTATATGACTATGTATCTCTCATCAGACATCCAGCAGATGCCCAACCCACAGAGGGGCTCTTGAAACACCACACAAAGTAGTAAACTCTTTCCTTTGTCCCTCCCCTTCCCCCTGCAAAAGATATCTAAGCTACTTTCATACCCTGGAAAAATCCCACTGAATATTTTGGCTCCTAAACACATTGCTATGCCTAGTCTTTCTATCCCCTAATTCTCTATTAAAGAAGTAGGGCTAATGACATTTCTCTGTGCTCACAAGATAGCTGTGAGAACAGATGTACTGTTTGACTGCAACGTCCCCTGCAGGCACCATAGTTGAATTTGAGATAGCAATATCCAAATGTGTCCATGAAGACTAGCATCCTCTTTCCAGGGGTGATACCAACTTACTGTATTGTGATACTTCAGTCACTCTGAGGCCTCACATTACAGAGGCACACATAGAGTGGAAAAAGTTATAAAGAGGCCTGAAACTAATGGAACAGCAACTGGAGCTTTCATTGTTATATTTAACCATTTAACCATTTAAACATAGCTAATATACAGAAACCAAAGCTGTCATGTGTTCACACATACACAGGGTGATTAACCATGTGAAAATACAGATAGCAAAGTAGGTACAGGGGAGCTTTGGAAGTGCCACAGAAATCCCACCTTCCCTTTTTTAGATCTGTGGATCAAGAATGAGGTCTCTCAGGGAGAAGTTCCAGGACTGTCTGGGTGCCCCCTAAGCCCTCCTGGCAGCAGTGCCCTGGGTACCACCCTTCCCTTTTTAACTTTGGGCAATTTCTGTTCAGTATCTTCAGATAGAAAGATGTACAGTCTTTGCATGAGTTGCGCATGTTTGACACAGCCAATCTTGAGCCCATATCACAGACACCATGAAATAATGCCTCTCCCTGTATATGATTCATTCTGAACATAAATCCCGTACTGACTGTTTGGCCAACACCCCAGCAATGTCTGTCAAAGCCCAGAATAAGGGCAAAGAGGCTCCTAAACAGTGAACAAGACAAGAGAAGCAGTAAAAATGAGGGACTTCAGAATAGGAAGGAACCTGGTGACAAAATGGTTCAAAGAGGTTTTCCTGGTGTAGACATCACGATCCACTGTTGGTCTTCAAGCCTGGAAGTCTCAAAGGAAACAGGGTCATCATGTTAGGAAAATAGTCATGAGGGGAACTCTTCAGACTCTTCTCAGCATTCTCTCCTGGCAGGACAAGAGGCAATGGGCCCAAATGTAAACATAGGAAATTGTGTCTGAACATAAGAAAACACCTTTTCACTGTGAGGGTGGTTGAACATTGAACAGGTTGCCCAGAAAGGTTGTGGAGTCTTCATCCTTGGAGATATCTGAAACCCAACTAGACATGGTCTGTGGCAACCTGCTCTAGCTGACCATACTTGAGCAGGGGGGTTGGACCAGAGAACCTTTAGGGTCCCTTCCAACCTCAACTACTCTGTGATTCTATGGGAAATCTTTTAGAGGCGCTGCATTAAGACAGTTAACTATGAATCCAGATAAAGAATTTGAGCCTTGCTCTGGATTGACCCTGAACCTGGAAACCTAGCTGGAAACCTAGCTGGAAAAGGTACTTGCTCATTCAGGCTGGAGAGCCAAGCCTGATGCTAGCCTTGTCAGTCCTCCTGTATCCTCTCTGCTATAGAAAACAGCATGTTCTAATCATGCAAAGATCCCACTGCACCTCAGACTTCATCTTCAACTCAGAAAGAGGATGAGTGGTAGGACTGAGAGAAGAACACAGGAAAGACACCTGGACTAAGTCCTTCCAACCTGAATTATCCTATGATCCTATGAGAACAGGGCTGATGAAGGAGAAGAAAAATCCAAATGAGGACAAAAACATTCAGACATGTTTCCAGCACTCTCTCAAAGGCCTTGACAGTGTGTAGAGAAAATATGGTATGGTTGCACAGCTCCTAAGGCAAATCAGAAATCTCCCCGCTGCTGCAGGGCGATGGAGCAGGGCCGGTCCCAGGGACACCCCGCCCCGGTGGGGCGGGACGAGCTGCCCGCCCCTGTCCGAGGCATGTAAAAGCCAGGGCTGCAGAGCCGGGGAGCAGGGAGCGACCAGCCCAGGCTGCATTGTGGAGCCGGTGAGCGGGACCGGGCAGGCAGCAGGGCTGGGTGGGCAGCGGAGGTTTCTGTCCTGCTGCCGTTGGGCTGGGGCTCTCGGCCTCCAGAGGGGAGAGCAGCTCGCGGGGTGCCGGGGCGGCAGGCGGGGACCCCGGGCCTGTGCCGCGGGACAGAGCTGAGCCTTGCTGTTCCACAGGTTGCACGAGTTCCAGAGATTGCTACGCACGCAAGCAAAATGTCGTCCGAAATGGCAACTGAGGTGAGTGTGAGTGTTTGCTTCTTCTACTGTACTTGTCTCTGGGATGCACTGACAAATGCAAGCTGACTTTAGTTACAATCCAAATTCCTGGCAGTGCAGCCTGCCATTTCCTTCCTTCAGGCTATTCCTTCTACCTGCGAGAGACTAATAACTGATGCAGTTCATTCCTGCCCGTTTGTATTTAGACAGATACTTTACAACAGCTTGTGTAAACACTTCTCTGCACAAAAGCTGCATTTTCAGTTTCTGTGCCTGGTAGATGAAGCACGACTAGTCGTCTTAGCAAGTCATGCTTTCTGCCTTCAGAAATGGCTACTACAGTCCTGGCTTCCTCTGCTCCTGGTTACAAATATCCATCAGCTGTCAGAATGTACTAGCCACTTCCTTCTCTGAGCAGATTTCTGTAGCTATCAAAAGTTCTTTTGGTTTTGATTTCTCAATTACAAACACTTCTGTTGCAATGTTTATACTGACCCACCTCTAATTTGGGTGGAAATCCACAATACTGAATACATCCTTAAGATTCCTGTTCCCCCAAGCGCTCAGCTTCCAGTATGGGGCTTTGACTTCTCATCCCCTCTGTCATTCTCCTGTGGATGCTAGGCTCCACGCTGAGGAACTGTAACACTTTTGAATTCTGATTCTCACCCCCCCGTTCATATTGACAAAGCTGTCCTGCAGATCGCAAACACCTCATGCCTACAATCTTACCTCCCCCATAGGCACTCTCTCCTGCTGTCCTCTCAGGCACGTTGGTTCATCTAGGATTGGCAGATACATGGACACAGTCCCTAGGGAAAGGGTTTCTAAAGTTACTCAACAGTGCTTTGTCTAACTGATAAAAGCCTGGCACAGACTAGCTTGCAACTGTCCCAGCCAACTTTCTGAGGTCCGTGGTAGTTAAGATGTAAAGCATGAGAAGAGACTGACAGGGGTGTTTAAGAAATAAGTAGAAGAGCAATATCATTCACTATACAATAGCAACTATGTTTAGGCCCTTACTTTAACTGCTCCTCAGTGTCATCTTTGTGCGTGCTAGCACTGGAGACTTGCTTTTGGAATGTGGGTAAGTTGTTAAGTCTCTGCACAAGTAAAACTCCATTCCCTTTCAGTGGAAGTCGGCCTGAGTTAGGGTTTCAGGAGGTGTCCTACCAGGATAAACAAATGACTTTGCTAATGAATCAATTCAGTTCCTGAATCACTGATGGGAAAAAGTCTACACACACCCTTCTGTGATGCATACCTGGAACTGTGTGCCTGTCTTTGTCACCTGGTGAAGTAGATATATAGACGAAACACTCAAGTACGCGAAGTTACTATCTGAATGTCAGGGTAGGGGGAAAATAACCTCTTGCATTACTTTGTTTTAAACCTCCTTTGTGCTGGTTTAATTTTCCGGAACATTTCTAATCCTGAAAGACACTCAGAGCTCCCCATTCTGGAGTCTGCACCTTATCCAGTTTCATGCAAATTTTCCTCCAAAGCTTGCAAAGCACATCCTGGACTCTGGAGGTGCATCAAATGGTAACTTCAAGCACTTCATAACTACAGAAGCGTTTTCATGGAACTGGCTTGGGTTGGCTCAGAGCTCTTCTGGCAGTCAAAGAATTAGCTTCCTATTGCCTCCACACAAAAAAGATTCCTGATTCCAAAAAATAAAAGATACTGGCTGAAACTGAAACCAATAGGCCTCTTTTTCTTGACCCTTCCTTTCTCTCAGGGGGAAAAACTCTGGGGAGGAAGGTTTGTTGGAACCACGGATCCCATCTTGGAGATTCTCAACTCCTCCATTGCTGTTGACCAGAGACTGTCCGATGTTGATATCCAGGCGAGCGTGGCTTATGCCAAAGCCTTGGAGAAGGCTGGCATCCTCACTAAACCCGAGCTGGAGAAGATCCTGAGTGGCCTGGAAAAGGTATTTCTGTCCTTGGCAAACTGTCCCATCTACTCTGGCCGAGGTACAGTTCCCGCGCTAGCCCTGGAACCAATGGCAGCTCACCTCACAGCATCTCGGGCAACTTCCCTGATTCACTTTTCTAAAAAGCATTCTTAAATATCCTCATGTCCTATTCCTTAGAGCAAGGCATTCTCTGAAGCCCTTTCCTGAAACGGGGGAGATGCTGCCCTAACTCACAGGCCAGCCTGAGAGGCCCATGCGTACTGCACCTCAGTACTCTCAGAGACACCCCGTGGAGAGCATCGATGCTCAGATTCCCTCTCGCTAACGGCACCAGAGCCAGGCACTGGCATGTCAACCAGCTGACAAGCCAGGAATGAGGCCCTGAGGTCCCGAAGAGCATTACCGAAGCCCTGGTGCCTCAGAGGGGTGCACGCTATGACCTTCCCTTCCGCCCTCTTCACCCTGAACATCCCCTCACAATTCTTTCCCTATGAATTAGGAATGTTCTTTCTGAGCTCGCGCTTGGGATACTTTTTTG